CTAAGTCATGAGAATTATTTATTCTCTGGTGAAGAGGTAATAGAACCCCACCAGACACTAAAGGGCAAAACCTTCACTTAGGTACCTGAACCTGTCCTTTTCTCAAACCAATACCCTGAGAGCACTGAGGCTGAGCACCTGGCAGCTCCCAGACAGTTCTGTGAGTGCTGGGTGCTCACCTGCTGGTGCTGGAGCTGTGTCCACACTGCAGCAGCTCTGCCCAAGGAGCACCAACACCTCCCACTCGAGTGAGCAGAACAGCGGCTGCGGCGTTGGTGGAGCGACACTGGGGCAGGGTGAGATTTTTAACACATCCCATGCTCTTCTCAAAGCTGGGGGAGGATGCCTGCAGCAAGCTCTGCTCCTGTTGGAGACAACAGGGGAGGCCTCCCCAGTCCTGCCCTGGATACTGAGCTCACATGTGGGCAAAGCTACCGGCTCTGGCACAGAGCTCAGGGAAGGGGGCAAAGCAGGACATGGCACGAGGGTCKCAGGATGGGGCAGGGGGGACATCCTTGCTTCCTGGTACAGACCACGGCCAGTCACTTCAATCCTTTCCCCTTCCTCCTCACTGATGCAAAGGAGAGAGAGGAAGGGACCAGCAGTGGGAGATCASAGAACTCCAAGGATTTTTGGTGCCACATGGCAGAGGAAGAGGAGCAGGGTTATTCCTCCACCAGAGCTGGCCTGTCACCTCTGAACTCCCTGCACCTTTCCAGGGGATGTGATTCGTCAACAGAAGCTGSTTCAAGGAGATGGAGAGTTTCCCCCTGCCTTGCCCATCTCCACCACAATGAGGTTCCTCTCTAAATACTGGTGGTGAGGTCCAAATGAGCCCAATTTGCCTTCCTCTCTCCAACATATCTGGCAACACTTCAAAGGCTCCTGCCTTCATGGACCCAGCAGCACAACCCAAATAGCTTTTTTTTAAAGTAATGCTCAATAAATAGAAGAAATAAATATTAAATAGAGGCCAAGTCCTCTCAGCCTGTTCAATATATGTACAATGCATAGCAAAATAACAGTGATTGGCTGTTGCAGACAAGTTTGGTACAAATTCAGTCCCCAAAACAACAAAAACATTGARAAAATTGCAGTCAACATAAAGCAAAGCTCAGCCGAGTGCTGCAACCAATGAAGAAAGAACAGAACAGTGCTTTGAAACATCCCTTATCTTTGCTTCCCAGCAAACCTGCAGAAATGGTGTTGGATTTTCTGGAGCCTGGGGTTGGGAGAGGTGGGATAAGCATCCTTTGGTGGGACAAACCCAGAGCCGAGGCCGGTCCAGTGAATGGGGACAGCTGATGGCTCTGGGATCAGCGGGGCAATTTGGAAGCGGGTGTTGTGATGTGCTGTGCCAGGGAAAGGCTGCAGGGATGCTTGTGAGATGAATCAAAATCATGGGTGGGAAAGAGCCTTTGAATGAGAGACAGGGTTTCCAAAAAACAGCCAAGATCTTATCCTGATGTTGTGGCCAGCCCTGAACACCCCTTGTGTGTCTGACCACAGCAGCAATTCACCAACACCAAAATGACCAARCTGCCTTGCTCTTGAGCCTGCTCTTTGCAGAGAGCACCTGCAGCAATCTGAGATGTCTGCTGTAGAGCAAAAATCCATACAAGCAGTGAATGAGAAAAACAACTTTAAAAAAGAAAAGAAAGAAAAAAGCACTGGCAAAAGGCACAGAGACAGAAAAGCTCACAGGCTTTACGCAAGCCCACAGAAACCCTGGCTGCCCACTAACAGGGAGGGTGTACTAAAGCTTGTACTAAAAACCTTAAATAAGTTAGAAAATAAATAACACCGAGRGAAGGTCACATGTATATGCACATGTGCACATACACACACACAGACGTGGTCAGGTCCGTCACCAGAGGCTGGGTTTTGCAAGGAGGTTTTGCAGGGATCGCTCTCTCACTGTCTCATCCCTTTAGTTTTCCCATGGGTGGGTCAGCGCACAGGGATAAACACGGCAGGGGAGTCCTGGCGACGGCATCCTCCCCGGGAAAGCGGCGGTGGCTGCGCGGGGCGGGTTTCGGGCTGAGCGCTGGCGGTGGAGCCAAGGCAAACAGCGCGGGGGCCAGCTGGCACCCGGCCGGCGCGCGCGCAGGCGACACTTCCCCTGGTGGCACCGCCAGCTGCCCGCGCTCGGCCGGCCGGCAGACCCCCGACAYGTCCCAGACCCGTTCCTGTGGTCACACCCATCACATCCCGGCACAAATCTAGCGAGAAACCCGAGATTTTAACATGAAAACACGCAGCTCTGCCCCGCGTCCCTTTGTCCGTCCCGTGCTCTTCGCCCTGCTCCAGAGAGCGCAAAGGGACACGGTGGCAGCAGGAGTGACTGTCACTCCTCCGGCCACCTCACTGAGAGGGGCCAGAGCTGTAAACCTTTACACGACAGCGGCGGCATGGATACATTTGAACAAACAAACAGTTCCAAAAATAACTTAATGCTAGATTTAAAAAAAAGAATAGAATAAATAAATACTGGTAACGGTGATCACCTGCATCCATTCTGACATACAATTAAAAATAGAATAATAATAACAAATAAATAAATAAATAAATAAATTAAAGAGGTTTACTCCAATGCAAGTTTGCTTGGGAAACTCCAGGAGCATTTAGCTGTCATGGACTGTACAGGCAGAGGCAGTCCTTGAAGTAGGGATCAGCTGGATGGGTGCAGGAGCTGCTGTCAGCCCCACACAAYCCTCGGGGTCATCTCCTGACCCATGGGGGGTGGATGCTGCTGACCCTGGTGTGGTGCTTCCATCATTGGTCCCCAGCCACGAGGACTGCAGTCAGTGTGAGTTTGGTATTTACACCAGTTGTACAAATCCCCTCTTCTTTCCTTTCCTTTCCTAGTTTTGGATCTCCGGGCTCGCTGCTTCCTTGTACAGCTCCACGTGTGCATTACAGGGTGCTGGGGGCAGGAGGCTGCTCCTGAAACACTGGTAGAGCTGGGTRGGTCTGGATTCCCATCACTGCCTTTGGATCTTCACAGAGAGGAGGATGGGGTGTTTCAGCTTCAGACTGGGAGAGACTCTTTGGGGAAGAAGCATGAGGTTTTCAGCCCTTTTGAGAAGGAGTTCACTGCAGAAGGTGGCCAAGGGGCCACTGGTAGGGCCAGCACAGGAGGGAAGGCAGTGACATCCCATCTTTGATCCCTCAACCACAGCCCTGGAGCATTTGCCCAGCCCTACCAGGAATGCTTCCCTCTAGAAAGGGTCTTTCCAGAAGATGGACACATCCCCACTAAGCCACCAACCATTCCAGTGCCCAGCTTTCTGCCTCAGCCACTCTCATATCGCCTGCAGAGAGCAAGGTGGGGGATAAGGGTCTGGGAAAAGGGGAGCTTTGGACATTGAAGGGACAGGCCAAGGCAGACCAGCACTAGGAATGATCCTGGGAAGGACGACCCTGATACAAAACCTCCTCTTGTACCACCCAGATGAAATTCTAGCCTGCTGTACTTTCCAACAGATAACAGATTTATGGGTTTGCTGAGGGGATCATCCAGTTCCACCACAACAGCTTGTGGCACTCAGCCTCCTCCACTTGTTGTTTTGTCCCTTTTCCTGCTGCAGGCGGTCTGTCGGTAACTCTTTAGATAGGGGGGTTGGGTGGGTGGGTTGCATTCCTTTCTACCCCCTCTCCTCCCGCAGATGGTGGCTCCATTCAGCCCTTTTCTGTGACRCTTAAACGACACACCTCCTTGACTCATTAAGCCCAAACTTGTTAATAATCATGCAGGATGGAAGGGGAGGGGATGGAAAAAGGGAGGGAGGGAGGGAGGGAGGAAGGGAGGGAAGTCTTAAGCCCAAATTAGCGTCTCTAAGCACCCAGGTGTTGTAAGAGAAATAAACTCCTCAGCACCAGCTCAGCCTGTGCTGGGAGAAGCCTTTGTTACCCGGCAAAACACAATAATTGCGCAGGCAGCTGGGCTGGCAGGGAGACAAAACCCCAGGGCCCAGGGCGGCCTGTGGCTCCCTGGAAAAACAGGCATTAGTGGGGGCCCTTCCTGTCCCCCTGCACTGCTCCAGCCTCCCAGTAACAAACTGGGGCACGAGCACATCCTCCTGCAGCCTGGCACCAGCCCTGCAACTGCGCTGCTGATCCTGCCTCAGGGCTGCCAGAGGGGCTCCAGGAGCAATCAGTTCCTGAAATCCTGCTTCAAACTGCTGCGTGTTTCGAGGAAAGGGTACTGGGACTCCCTGGCTCATGCAAATCCCTTTTAACCCTGTGTGTTCTGACTGAGCCCCACAACTGGGCTATCTCTGCCCCTCCCTCCAGTCCCACCAGCATCACGCTCCAAGGACAACGCTCCCTGAAGAGAAACTTAAACTTAAACTCAAACTGAGGCTTCCTCTGAGAAGGAAAGCCATGGCTCCTGTCTCCCACATGTGGCCTGGCCCTTGGAGCACAGCATGGCACCACCTCCCCTCTGCCTTGTACCCCACCACCCCCAGGTCTGTCTCAGACCTCARCAGGTTGTTTGCAAGCAAGTCAGTGCTGGGGGGGTAAAACAGCCCTGCAAAAGGTGCTGCTACCTGGCAGGAAAGGGCACGAGAAAGAGCAAACAGCTGTTTTTCCCAAGKAATTACAGCAGGAGAGATTTCTAGCCTTCTATTTAAAGCACGRACTAGCTGACCGGCAAAAAATAAATATTTTCTCTGCAGAGTGGGCAACAGCTCTGGAGGAGAGACCCAAAGGACCTGATATTTGCCTTGGTGGGGACAGTCATCCCCCTTATCACTGAAGCCTTCCAGCAAATCCTCCCTGACTGTGTCTGTCCTTCCAACAGAAGCTAATTTGTTGGTTCCTGGTTTGTCAAAAGAGCAAGGAGCAGAACTCTTTCCTTTGGACCAGCTGGTAGTGCTTTGGAGAGCGGTAGCAACGGGGAGGTGGGAGCATCAGGGAGGATGGAGCAGGTCTGTCGTGACAGATCCTCTATAAAGCACCGACCCTTCCCCCAGCCCGGCCGGGGGAGTTGGGGCTGATCCACCCACTCCGCGCTGGGTGAAGGGACTGCACCAGGGCACCGGGGAAGGGGGACCCGGCAATGCCACCACATCAGTATCGGGGATGATCGCTATCGATGGCCAGGTAGGTGGGAAGGAAGCGGAGAATGCCAGGAATGCGGCGGTGACGCCGGCACGCGGTGTCAGCCAGCAGCGGCACTCCCTAACGACGCAGGCTGCCGGAGCTGGCTCCTGAGTCATAGCTCCTGCTCCTGCTGCGGCTGCTCCTGGGGCCCGAGCTCCGGCTGCGGCTCCTGCCCTCGGCGCTGCTGCTGCTCCAGCTTCGGCTCCGGCTCGTCCGGTAGCTGGAGTAGCTCCGGCTGCGGCTCGGGGAGCGGCTAAAGCTGCTGTACCAGGAGGAATAGCTGCTGGCGCTGCTGGAGGAGGAGGGGCTGGGGCGGTAGTAGGGGATGGGGCGTTTGCGGGCACTGTGGAGACAGAGAGATGTGGGTTACCAGCAACTCAGGGGCAGGTTTACTGTCAAAATCTCAAAAAAGCACAGTTTACTCTGCACAATGCTCCCAAAAATGTGACTTTGTTTGCTTAGAAGAAAAAAGAGATCAGGTAGCTGACGGGCCTTKGGATTCAAACCACCCACTCCCACAGCCCCGGGGAATGTCCCAGCCACTAAGTCTGAAGCTGGGCTCTGCTTGATGTTGTCCCAAAGGGCCCTCTGTGTGAAGGTTAGAGTCAATATTTGACTCTCTCCTGTGTGGCATATCTRCCACAGGGGAGAGTGAAATAAAAACCCTGTGAGGGAATGCTCCTGACACCTGASTCCCTGCTCTGACTTCATCATCCTTTTTCCTTCAGCTACTGTAAATTGAGACCCCTCCATCCTCCSTCTGCCTCCAGCTGGAAATCCCCAAGCTTTAGAAGGGGCGGAAGGGCCTGCTCATCAAGCTCAGGGAAACCAGTCTCCTGGAGAAACCTCCTCTGGCAAGGGCTGGGACCCAAGGACAGCCCACATCCCCCCAGGAAGTGCCAGCTGAGCCTGTCTCCAAAGGATGGGACAGCATCCCCTTACCTTGTGATGCGCCGAGCTTCCAGGTGGCTGGGAGAGTCTCTCCGGCGTTTCCTCAGGGGGGAATAGGAGCGGCGCCGCCGCTGCCGCTCACGCTCCCGGTGCGACTCCTTCTCGCTGGAGCTGTACTTGTGCTCTCGCTCGCGGTCCCTGGGGGAGGCACAGCATGGGAAATGTCACTGCTGGGCTTKGGGGGGGTCAGGGATGTGCAGGCAATGATCTGTGAAGGCACAGATGAGCAGAGGATGCTCAGCTCCAGAAGGGACAGCTCTAAGCACTCTTCCCTGAGCACTCACGTAGCTGGACAAAGAGAYGCACATCTGGCTGGACAGATGGACACCACTGCTTGTGTCCAGGGGTTCCAGCAGTGTCTTCCCGTGGCTTTGCACTGCCAAACTAAGGTGAATTCCAGRKWCCTGTGTCTGTGGGTGCAGGCTGTRTTTAGCTCTTGCTGGCCATGCTGCTGGAGCTGGCAGCAACAGCCCTGCCAGCAGGCCCCACGTGAGCTCAGGGCCTGGTAGCCCTGCAGGGCTCTGCAAGCCTCRCCAGAAGGAGTGCCAGTGTTGCCATGGTTTTCTCTTTTGTTAAATTCCCATACAYGTCAGCACAGGCCCTTCTGTGCAGTGTGGCTGACTTCATACACCCTGCTCAGTGCCATCTGCAGAACAACACGTTACAGGTCAAGGRCCTGCCTATCCCTGCATGCAGGAAGCATTCTCTTCACCAGCACGGGGATTGTCAAAGCCTGCAAGAATCGACCCTGGGAATGTAAGATTTTGAGGTTGCAAAATGTTCACAGCAGCAGAGATGCTACCAGGAAAACCTGCCAAAGGCATCTCTAGGGTTGAGCTGTGAGATTGGGTTTTCTCTGGTGTGTGGAGGGAGTAGAGGTGCCTGGGCTGTGTTTCTCTCTGCAAGGCTRTGTATGCCAGCCTGAGGGTACCTGGCACCTGCCCTCACAGCAGGGGCACKTCCCAAGGCCTGACAATTCTTTGGCAGAGCTGTGACTCTAGGAAATAGAGTGCCTTTGCCTGCTGCAATCAGATCCCTGTCTGACAGGGGCTGCAGCCTGCTGCAGGGCTGCTGGCTGTGTGGGTGGTGAGAGCCGTGGGCAGACCCAGCTGGATGGAGCCTGATGCTCTGCCCACAGCTCACACCAGCGTGACAGGGATGGAGGCAGGGGGAAGGTGTGAGGCAGCACACACCCCAGGAGAGACAGCAAATACCACATGAGTGGACAGCTGTACCTGCTACGGCTGTAGYGGGAGTAACTGGGGCTCCGGCGAGGCCTCGAACTCCTACTCCCAGGACTTTTTTTGCAGGATTTGGAGGAATAGCTGGGGGAACGTGAGGAAGACCTGGACACAGGAAAGAAACGTGAAAGAGTTAAAGATGATGGAGGATGAAGCGGTAAGCAAATCATAAGAGAGAAGAGTTGTCCCATTCTCCAGGGTCTCAGCTCAGCTCTGTGAGGCCAGTTCACCCCAAGCCTTGTGGATCTCCAGGTACCTCCCAAACTCTTACACCTCCCCCTGCAAGGAGCCTGCCAGCTGGCAAGAGTTAGACATTGCCCAGGGTGACAGAGACAGCTGTTTCAGCTGGCCTTACCTCTTTCCCGAGGAGCAGGACCTGCTTCTGGAGTGCCTGGGAGAGGCCTTGTGGTGCGAGGAGCGGGAGCGGCTGGAGCCGGGGGAGGATCGGCCCGTGCTGGTGTAGGACGCGCTGCGGGAGCAAGGCCTGAGCGGGGAGCTGGGGGCTGGGGATGGGAGGAAGCTTCGCTTCTTCTCCTCTGAAGAGCTGAGACATGAGGACAGGCACGCTCTGTGAACATATATTTGGACATGTTTTGAAGCTGTGGCTGAACTGGGACTGGTTCCTGGCTGAAGGGAGCACAATGCTCCAGAAAAAAAAAAAATATTTCCATTCTCCCATTCCCTGACTGGAGGCAAAAAAGACCTTTCAGCTCCCCAGGCTGCTGTTGCAGGAGACCCCCCTGCATGTGGATCAGAGCCCAAGAGCTCACYCTCTGGCTCTGCCAGGGAGAAGAGGTGTGGAAGAGGTCTCAAGTGGCACAAGGAGCAGTTCATCTGCCCCATGCCCAACACCCCAGAGGTGTCTGGCTGACAGAGCCTGGCTCAGGCCAGCGAGCAGTGCTGGTCMTGGGCAGGGAGCAAAGATGTGCTGCAGTAAGGGAAAGGCAGAGCATGGCAAGGCAAGGGCTGTGCTCCAGCAGCAAGAGTGGGCACTGAGCAGGCATGTCCTGTTGCCTTTGGACAGCGCTGCGTGAATTCCTCCACTTGCAGAAGTGCCCTGGGAATGAACCAGGGTCAGAGCCCAGCAGCCAGGCAGCCTCCCAGCAGCCGGGGCCAGCTGCAATCCCAGCTCCACCCATGTGAAGGCAGAGTTATCCCACTGGAGTCACAATATGAAAAGTACATACAGACCTAAAATTTTACCTTCTGACTGAAAAATGAGACTTGTTCTTACTAACACCCCTTCTCCTGGCTCSCTCCTGTCACATTCAGTGCTCCAAACCATGTCCTGGTTCTATCTTTCAGCCTTTAGGACCCAAGGGCCTGAGCTGGAAGAGCTCCCTACCACCACTGCCTGAGCACAGCCCTGGGTACCAGCCACGTTTCGGTGCCCTCATTCCCAACATCCCCTGGCAAACCCCCAGCAATGGGAGGCAGTAATGGAGGCTGGCAGCTACTCGTCTCTCCTGAGGATGACCTGTGGCACTGGGTGATGGCTTGACTCCTGCCCAAGCCTGGATGCCCTGGGGCCCCAGTGCACAGAGCTGCTGCTGTGTTATCCTGCAGTCAGCCAAGTGCTTGCCCCTCCCTGTGCTCCCCAATGGCAGGAGATGCAATCTTGTCACCCTGGACCAGTGCTGGACCAGCTGTGAAGGAGAGGTGGCACAYTGGATTTGGCTCATTAGGACAGGTGAAAGAACAGCTCACAATGATCTGTGTGAAAACAAGTCCCACTTCCCTTCCCTGCCTAGGCAGAGGGGTAGAATYAGCATGGCAATGCCCAGATGACCCTTTCAGATTGTGCCCAGAAGGGCCATACTCTCTTTTCTTTGACACAGCCATGCCCAGCTGAGCAGGGATGTGCTGTGGACACAGCCTGACCCAGGCCCAAACCCTGCATTAGTCAAAGTRGTGCCAAAGCAGCGGCACAAGCAATGTCCAGGGATGCAATGGCTGGGTTTTATCTTCCTCCTCAGCCTACAGTACTGGTCCTTGCTGGGTTCTGGACTCCAGACTGGCAAGACCGTGGGTCTGATTGGTACCTGCCTGCCTCCAGAGCACAGAAAGCTCCCTGCCAGCTCACCACAGCAACTGGCGAGCAGGCAGGAGATACAGAGCAACAACGTACCAGGTATTGRGCTGCCAGCAGCAGCTACTGGTAATCACTGACCTTCGGTCTTGTCCCTGGGCATCTGGAGACAGATTTTCCAAAGCTGTTCCCTTGGTCTGGGAAAAGCAACTGGTGAAGGAATTTCCTGAATCAGAGCTGTTATCGCTGTTGGCCAGTTTGGGCTTCCCGGACGAGAAGGCATGGCCAAAGCCATCATGGACTAGACTTCTTTTCTCCTGGCTGTCCTTTGACCTGGATGAGCTCGTTTGAGTGGAGGGAGGGGAGGAAGTATCGTTTCCTGAGTCATATTCATGATACTCTCCATTCTGGCTGGCTAGGTTGCCAGGCGGGCTGTCTGTTTTGGTAAAGAGGTCAGCAGAAGACCCTGACTGAGAGATCTGAAAGCAAAAAAGCCATTTGGCATTGTTTGAATGGTTTTTGGGGGGGTTGTTTTTGGTTTTACTTTGCTTTTTTTTTTTTTTTTTTTTAATAAACCCAGAAATTTTACCATCATGATGCACTGAAACAAAAGGAAAGGAAAGAAACAAAGTAAGAAAGAAAAAAAAAAGAAGAAGAAGAAAGGAGAAGAAAACAAAAGCACATATCCCTAAAAGAAATCCACAGTAAGAAGAAACTTATTTTCCCCCTGCTATAATAACGGGAAGATTTAGAGATCATGCAAAGAGTATCAACATGCGGTTCATGTTAAACAAAAGAGTTCAACAAAGTAAGCGGGCAACCAAAGAATTAAAATAAATCACTAACTAAACAAAAAAAATATAACAGAGGACAAAGCCCTTATTTAACCTTAAAGAGGGAAGAAGAAAAGAAAAAGGGGGGGGTATTTACATGTTAAAAAAACTACATAATATTTGCAAAGAAAACAAAAATAAATCAAAATCTTAGATGAGTGAATTTTTTAAGCTTCCTTAATAAAGTGGCCGAACAAATGTCACTAAAATAAGCAACAAAAAAACCAAATCAAATCAAATTAAGGGCTTCTGTACAAAGCAAAAACTGGTAAATAAACAAGCTTATTGCTTTGAAATTAAAAAAAAAAAAAARAAAAAARAAAARAAAARGARRRWGAGGGTGAGGGGAAAAAAGAAAAATCCCTTTGGAAATAAAAGGTATACAGATACTTTTTTTGTGTGCTTTTTACCCCCTGAAGAAGGTATAGCTAATGCGCTCAAGTGACCTCTAATAAATTCCCTGGTGTCTTGCGGATAGCATCCACTTACCCATCAAGAACTCCTCCTTTAGTAGGTAAGGTGTAAGAAAAAAGGAAGAGCGGGCAACATAAGTCCATCATTAGAGTCTCAAATTACATGAAAAAAACATAAACCCTCTCTTCAATCCACACTGCCAACTGTTTGCTGCCTCCTCTATGCAAATGTCATGACTGCTTTTTGTCTGCTCGGTTGTCTCCCTTATTATTCATTTTTATTTCCTTCTGCTTTAAATTAGCCTGTCCAGCCCATTCCTGGAGGCTGATGGCTTGTGTTGAAATGTTGCAGCTTGCACTAAATCCCCCTGGGTTGTGTGGAAATGACAAAGGGAACTCCAGTGAGGGAAGAAGCAGAAGAATAGAGGAGGAAAAGTATCCCCACACTGTGTATTAGAGATCTGTGGGGAAGAGGATGGCAGCCCTGCTCCTGCCAGCCTCTGCAAGGGGGCCCAGCCACACCCTGGCTGTGTTGCTGAACACAACAGGGCCAGCAAGGATCTCAAACTCACACAGGCTGCCCTGGGCAGGGCTGTTCCCTGGGACCCTGAGCACCATATGTGGGATTTACATWATTTCAGTATTTCATAGTTCAGTTTTAAATCCACTGGCATTTACCTGGGCCAGCTCAGGAGCATACCACTGAGAGTGGGGCTATGTTAGTGCTAACATCTGCCCTTGAGTGGGGTGAGAATTAGGGCTAAATGCACACCCACGTGTGTGCAGGATCTGCACTCTCATGTGGCCTCCTCCTCTTTCATTCAGTGCCTCTGCTGTCCTCAGTCCCACCCATGAGGTTTGGTCCAGAGTTCTTAAAGAGTGGACACACAGGTTTGGCTCCCACCTCGTGGTAGTGCTCCAGACACGTTCCCAGCAAGCCRTGCTCCCTCAAACATGTGCACATGCTCTCATGCCACATTCTGGGGCACACAATGCCCCAATCTATGCCATGCTCTCCACACTGGGGMCTGGGCCATGCCCTCACCAGTCTGGGGCCTTCTGAGCCAAAAAAAACGCATTGCAATGTTGGTGCTATCTCAGGCAGCAGAGGAGACCGGGATCAGCTGTCACACAGCAGGCACAGGGCCAGTCCCTTTGGAAAGGTTAGCTCTGGACTGGCTGGCTTTTTCATCCTCAGAGGGGCTGCAGACTCAGCCTGTGTCATGTTTCACATGGATCTCCTTCATCCTATCAGATGGTGCCTCCACATCCACACTCCTGCCTGTGGCATTCAATCTGTGTCCCCAGGGAGAGCTGCTCTCGACCCAGTTTGAGGTGTTAACTGGGACAGGGACAGCTGACTSTGGACACAGGTGCTGAACCAGCAGTGACTGAAACCAGAGCAGAGCTACCAACACCCACAGCAGCTCTCAGCACAGTCTGTGGAAGGATGACWGCCTACAACATCTCGTGCTCTGAAAACACCTGGAGCTGGAGGATCTCCAAGTCCTTTCTGTGCTGCCAGGAAGAGAAGCATTACTGCTTCTAGGAGAAGGGATTAGCTCATCCCACAATGGAGTTCCCCATCCCCACCCCCACTAACTTCTAAATAATGCTCAGTCCCAGCAGCAGACATGGGAAATGAAGTGATCCTTCTTCATCAGCCAGCTTGCACCTTCAACGCAGAAGCCCTGCACAGAGCAGAAATGTCTCCCAAATGTTCCCAGCTAGGAATGAGCAAAGACACACATTGCAGGTCCTCATTTCAGCATCTGGTACTGCTCCTTGCCTCTTCTCAGCTCTAGCACTTCTCTGCCAGTCCTTGCTTACTTCAGCACAAACAGGAATGTCACAGGAGAGCCTAAGGGAGCCAAGTATCCAGCTCTGCCTATCACCAGTTCTTTCTGAAACCCTGATGCCACATGCAGAGCCCCAAAAGATCTGACCTCTGTGCTGTGGGCCACTGCACTCTCCCCAGCCACATTCCAGAAGATACAGGATTGCACTTTCAAATATGCTACCAGATATTTTTCTGAAAAGATGGGTTATGGTTTGCATTCAAGTTGAATCCTAACCCAGAGACAATCAGCTTTTCACCACCTTTCACTTACAGGCAAAAAACCATCACGAGGTACTCCCTGACTGCAGGGGTAGGATAATCCTGGAGTGGGCACAGGRCTGCTCCAAGAGACACTGACCCCAGCATCACACACAGAAATACCTTCCTCCTGTAGCTTCCCAGTTTAAACTGAAAGGCCTTTATTTCTGCCAAGAAATACAGCAGTTTCTTGGCATTTCTATACCAGTTCTTCAGACTGACTCTGGGAACTGAGATCTTTGCTTCTGCTGTCTTGGCTGACATCTACCTTCAAAGTAGCAACTGTTGTCAGCACATCGCAAAATCTGTCAAATGACCGGGAGGATCAACAAGCTCCTCTGTAGTTCAACATCTGTGGCAGCAATGCTCTGGGAAGAGGCAAYGTGGATATCAGTCAAATACGAAGCTGAGAGTCTGTGTGAGGGCTGGAGGGTCTAGACTGGGGCAAGGGAGGTTCCAGGGCAGACACAGCAGCTTCTTGTCCCACACCCCAGGGCACCAGGCTGTAGCCAGCAGCTTCCTGAAGGCTGGGGGAGAGGTTCTGCCCTGCACCAGGAGCCAGGACAAGTCTCAGGGTGCTCAGCTTGCCTGTCTGCTCAGACTAATTCCCCATATTCCCCACTGGATGACCTTGGCTTTGTTTGTGGTCCCATTTTACTGTTTCTCAAAGCCATACCAGCCACTCAGGACGAAAACAGTACCACATCTAAAAACACAGCGCAGCGCTCAATTGAATCAAACCATTCTGTGTGATTCTGAATTCTAATGGCTTTTTACTTTTCTAGAGTGGCTTAGAAGAGCCTGCTCTTTCACAAATCTAATTCTCTCTATGTGAACATTTGGATTTTCCCCCACACAACCCCAAATAAGTAATTAAATAATCTCAGTGAACTTTGCTTCATCCAGCTTTCAGCAGGGAATCTGCTGCTGCCCTCAAGGGAACCCAGGATATGTATTTATTGGATTTTTTGTTTCAAATCATTATTTAATCAAGATGAAGGGGGAGCAGAAATGAGGCCCTCACTCATATTCCAGACTGTAATTCCGAGTGCGATCCCAGACCAAGAGGCAGCGTGATCTAATAGGTTACAAAAATACAATCACTGCTCTTCCAATTAAACTGAACAGCTCCATTTACTGTGCCACAAACAGCCCCGAGGCGAGAGATGACAATACATTGTCTCAGCCATACGGGGACAGCAGCGTGGCACAACCTCACTCAGAGCTGCAGGATTTCTTTGGTGAGTCTTTTTTCTCTTGTTTTGCAACTCACTTCAAAGCAGAGTTAATTTCTCTTTCAGAGGGGCATAATGTCTGCCTTTCTCTCTTTTTCTAGGCATTGTGCTAATGAAAGGAATKAAACACTTGTGTCGGTGACCCCGGCCAGCCCTGCTCTCGGCAAGGGCCCGGCCAACATCTGCCAGAGCCGCCGGCACAGGGACAGCACCTGCTGAGGGGCTGCTGGGGATGGGGCTCTGGGGCTGCCCTGGGGCACCCCCACCTGCTACAGCTCTGGGGAAATGGGCTCACCTCTGCTGGAAAACCAACTTCTGACTGACTACAAAAAGTAGAAGTTCTGTAGGAATTCAGTATAACCCCTTTTTGCACAGTTACGAATCCCTGACTCGAGGAACATCGAGTGGGAATATACCTCTTTTTTCTGGCTGGATGGGGAGTTCAGGGTAAGGCCTCCTCCACCACAAGGGCTGAGTCCCAGAGCAGGGGGGCAATGACACAGCTGTCCCTGCAAGCTCTGAGCTTGGGTTATTTGGGGCTGGATGAGCAGCCTGGCTCACCAAGACACTGCTGGGGGTAAACTACAGAAAATGCCAAGCAAAGTTTTGTTTTGCTTTTCAGGGATCTTTTCAGCCTGCTGGGGTGCAGCCAGTGTATCCCCACCTCAGCTTGGGCCAGGCTGGCGTTGCTTGGGAGGAAGGGTTTGCCTTCCACCACTTTCTTTGGTACCTGTGCACAGCCCAGCCCTTCCATGGATACAGGCATCCATCCATTCCCYGCAGCTGCTGCTTCCAGCACTGAGCTGTGGATTTGTCAGACAATAACCAGGGGTAACCTCAGTCCATTGGCTGGGAGGGGAGAACAGGAAAAAGGAAAAAAGAGAACAATTTCCATATTCATAGAAGGTTTTGCCTTTCTGCTCTTCAAGGGCCCTGTTTGCTGTCAAAAACATGCTGCCTAGCACTTAAAGAATAGCTCTTCCTATGGAAGCCAAAACCCAGGCTGGAAAACAGCAGCAGCAAGCCAATATGCCTGTCTGCCATCAGGTTTCCTGAGCCCTCCAGCACATGCTATCCCAGCTCCAGCACAGCATTTCCCCACTTCTACCTTCCTGCAGACACGAGCACAAAGAGAAACAGCATCATTTGGACCAGCTGTACCCCACTGAGCCTCGCTGGAAATCTGGCTCAAGCCTGTGATAATTTGTGGCATCACAAATGAGTTACAGTGAAAGCAAAGGAGCTGGCAAGGGAAGTGTATGCATGGTGCAGTTATCTTCATCAGGAACAACAAAGGCAATTAGATCTGTGCCCTGCAGGTATTTATATTGCACTGCTAAAGGAAAGCACGGTGGCACAGTCATCCATCTGTGTCGGTGTGGAATAAAGTGTCTGCAGCTGGGCAGGGGTATTCTGTACAGAAATTAATGCTGCCCATTATCCACAGCTTCTCTCTGCCTGCTGAGGCACAGGCCCACAATTCTGCTCTCAATAGGTGGCTGTTGGGGCTGCACGGGATTAAAGGAGAATGAGAGGAAGATGCTTGGAAATTCACTGCCAAAAGGAAAAGTAGCAGGGAACTTTGGGGTGTTTCTGCATGTGTACATGCATGTGTGGGTGCAACAGYTTATGCATAAAAAGGGAAAGGAGCAGCAAGGTAGATGCATAGGCAGGGTGTTATTTTGTGTGCTTTATCCCTCAGCCATTCCAGGTAGACCTAGTTAGAAATCGTGGCTGTTTCATTACAAAGGAATGAAGAAAATAGGGGTGGGGAGGATGGCAGAATTTACCACAAAGCGCTTCAAATTTTCAAAAGAAAAAGAATGTAAAATAAAACACAGCTTAAAAAGCAAAACCTTTGTTTTGGAAGTGCTAGAGCATTACCTCATGGGAGTTTGTGTATTGTCTCGTTAGATTTTTCCCTGTGCATTTTTTCCAGTGCATTTTCCCCTGATCCTCCTTGGACAATCCCTTTCCTTTGGAGCTATGGCAGTGCATATCTCTGCATGAGGATGGGTTGGTTTGTAAGCCCAGGCTAGATGGAAGGATAAGGGAGTATAACATACCAACTCTCACAGAGTACTGAAACATGGCATTTTTGAATCCTAATTCTGGATTTTTTTCACGAAGTATTTTCTTTTCTGGTAATTTGGGTTTTTAAATTTTTTTTTTAAAATATATGATCAACATATTCTGCAAGAGCATTTTTCTTTCAGGCTGCTCTCAAAGACTGACAGACCTAAGCTTATTCATAGAGCAACCATTTAACTCATGAAAAGGAAAGGCATCAAAGGGTTGTGTATAGTCATTAATAAATGAGACTAAAGGTTCCCATTTCATTTTTCCCTTGCCAGTTTTGAGTACATGGTATTTAATGACCTTATTCAGCAAAATTTCAGGGGCAGCTCTTAACCAAGGGCTTCAATTTAAACAAGTGCTTAAACGTGCTCTTGAATGATGTCCCAAGAGAACGTACTTCTTTTGGGGACRGAAGGACAGTAGTGGGTTCCATCAGTCATTATGCCTTTTAGTAATTGAAATATTTGCATAAGTTATTAACCCTTACTAGAAGGAACACAGGAGTGTCCTGATGACTTTCACTTAGAATCCACCCCCTGCATCTGGAACTATCAAGCTCTTATTTTCCCTTCCCTGCAGCTTGTGTGCTCGTTTACCTCAAGTGAAGCAAATGGAAAAGGGAGTGCAGCATCCCTTCAAGCAGCATGCTTGAGTTTAGCTCATTTTAAAGCTTTTAAAATTTTAAATTAGACTTTATTCTTTCTCAGGAAACAGAACAGCTGGCAGTTGGCCTCACAGGACTTGGGGAGCACGGCTTCCGAGAGAGGAAACCTAACACTAATTAAAAACCAGGCTTAGACTCAGAAGCATTTATGAAAAATATGCTGCTTGAACCAAACAACACCCTGGTGACRTGATGCAGTCTTTGGCTGGTTGAGTTTTTTTGGGAGGAGCTCTGAACTCAGCAACACCCCCAACTCATAACAATGAGCTTCATACCTTGTTTTTCTTCCTTTGCGTGTGCGTGCACACATCAGTGTGTGGTGTGAGGTTCTGCTCTCCACGTTTCCTTATAAGGCCCTAYAAGGACTGACTCACAGGGCCCCACACACTCTCTAACGAGAGCAAATATGCATATCTATAATGCTGAGAGACAGCTTGTGCCTGTCTGTACCCACGTACAATCCCTGGGTATTTTGATCGGYACGCTGTCTGTGTGGGTGAGTGGGTAGATTCTCTCCTCTTGCTGGCACCATCTCTCTCCTATCTGATGTAGCTCCTGCGTGCGGCTGGGCTATTTCCAACTGATGACTGGGCCTAAAGGAGAAAACATCTTCGGGGCTTGAAGTACTCTGTACTCAAAACACCTCTAGCATTACACATCCACACATGTGAGTATCAGATTSTGCACTACCTCCAGTCCTACACAGCAATTTATCTCTCCAGGTGCCTATCTGATACCTATACCATAGTCAGGGCACCTCTGTTTTGCTGCTGCCAGGAGCAAAGGGGAAACATGCCACGGAAAAGGAAAGCTGAAATCAATCTCTATCTAATATTTCTCTCCATCTCTTGGATCCCTCAATACATGTATTATATCATCTCTTTCTGTGTATATGCAAAAACATCCCAAGGCACTGAGTCTGATTTTACCCTCAGCTGCACATGCAGTTCCCATTAGCATCAATGAGAGCTGCTCATAAGTTCTGAATTTGGCCCCTGGGCTTGTCAGTCCAGAGCAACAGTGATCCTAGAAGGATCCTGATAGTCAGAAAACATCCCATGCCAATAATCACCAACTCATTAAATGTAAATGTTCCTTTTGTATATGTTTGATACCCTTTTTCAGCCTGAAGGACTAAACTTTTGGATGTGAAGACCAGTGAATTAAGTTCACATCCAGCTGAGCAAGGACTGCATAGCAAATACTTCCCTTTAAAATATCGTTGCTGGAGGCCACTTTTATTTTTTTTTTGTTAAATGTCCTCAATTCATTATTCATAAGCTAAAGACTTTGCAAGTTTTTCCCCTCTCCATCCCCACCYTTGGTGTGAAAGTGCTGAAGGAAGGAATGACTTTACATACATTGGAAAACAGCACCATGAATAAATAATACAGTTTAACCAAGTTCGTCTAACATCACTATAATTGAGTTATAAAAATTTCATATCAGATTTCTTGCCCAGATTCCTGTGGCTAGTTCAAGCAAAGAAGGACAGTGTGTAATACTTACTACTTCCTTAGAAGACAGGAAGCTGTAGAGTGGGAGGGTTTGGCTGGCTTTTTGACTGGCCTGAACCTCTGMAGAGGAGCTTCTCTTTGCCGTGATCTTTGAATGGTGCCAGGAGTGTCTTCKCCTTGTTTTACGTCCTTCCTCCCGAGACCTGGCTCTGTGCCTCCAGGAGAGAGGAAYAGCCAAAATGTTATTCCTTAGTATTGCAATAGTGCCCATTCCCAGCTCCATGCAAACCCTTGGCAGCTCTGTGTTAGGATACTGCGTGTGGGAGAATGTTCTTTCACATGACTACTCTGTGAAGTCATGATGGAGAGAAAAGGGATGTTTTGCTTTTCTACTTTAAAAGAAAAATAATAATTCTGCATCCAAGCTTTGGACCTTAACCTCAAATTTCAGCTCCAATGCATGGTTTTATGGTGGCTCAAGGCAAACCATTACCCTCATGCACTCCAGAATGTTCCTATGGTGATACACCCTGCTCTTGCATGAGCACCCCTCCAATTACTGACTGCATTCCTCCCCGCACTGATCCTCAGCTTTTCATAAGTTCCCAGTACTTAAGAGAAGTGAAGTGGGAGAGTGGGGGTGGGTTGTTCAAGTGCTTTCAGAGAACATGAAACATGAACTCATTATGTGTATAAATCACCTGCTATTGCAGCAGTGCTGGGTCTCGCACCAGCATCCACTTAGCTGGCCCCAGAATGCATCTGTCATCCACAGGAAAAATTTTAATCAGGTCAAAAACAATGGCTATAGATTGCCATGGGCAAATGTATTTCCACTGCTTAGACCATGTTTAAGGGTCTCCAGGGACATCAGCAGTACAGAGCCCTTGGGGTCTCCATGGACATCAGCAGTACCCTTCCCCTTGGGCTGGGGAAGGGACACTAGACTGGAATCAGCTGTCATGGGCTGATCATCAGGCATGGGGATTAGAAGTGACTGTCACATCAAAAAGCTGCAGCCACTGCTCCTTGAGGCAAAACCCATCTGTAGCTGAGACCACAAACAGCTCAGCCCCCAGCGGGTGACATTGCTGCTACCAGAACAAGAAGTGGCTGAGCACAGAGAGCCTGTGGGTCACACAAGCTGTGACAACCACGACCCTGAGCCCAGGAAGCATTGGGGACACTGAGCATGGGAGTGGTGACGTTACCTGCTGCGGCAGCTGGGGGAGTGGGAGTCGGAGCTCTCTGAGCGAGAGTGGCAGCGAYGGTGCCGATGGGATTTCCGGGTGCGCCCACGAGAGCTTTAAGAAGCAGAAAGGAAAACCAGCATTAGGTTAGCAGGTGGGGGGATGCCAACAGCTGGAGGCTGAAGTCAATAATGTTCAAATCAGAAGGAAGGTATGCATTTATAACCAAAGAGATTGTTGTGTGAAACACCACACAGAATATCAAGGCATTAGAAAGTCTCTGTCCCTTCATCAATACAGTGACATCTTCCTGAGATCCCTGCTAGCATTTTACACACAAGCTATTAGGTTGGCTCTGTAGCCTGCTGGGGGAAGATTTGTGGACAAGCATACAGGAGCACAGCAGCCAGCACCAATCCTTTCTAGACTTTAAAGAGCCACATGCCYGCCTTTCATCCTGCAGCCTACCCTGAAACAGCCAGGCAACAGCCCAAGACCTTCCTGTGCTGAGCCTTGGGAGGAAGCATCATCTCTTTGGGCAACCCATCACAAACCTCCAACCCTCTTTGTAATGCTGGCTCCTTATTAAAGAGCAGGTACAGAAGGCCAAGCTCCAAATGACACAGTACACTCAGTAACACCAGCTTTCCAGGTGGGAGCCAATTCTGTGGGCAGCTCTCATGGYTGCTACACAAAGTACAGCTTCCCTAACTGCAGCCTGCCCAGTGTGTGGYTCCTGCTTGAGAGGCAGGACGATTTCCCTGGCTTCTGACAAGTGCCCAGTCACTGSTGCTCCCTTTGCTAATGGGCCTGAAGACAGTCCCCAGCAAACAATGTCCAGTGCCCTGCTGCACTTCCCCTTGCACCATCCAGGCTGTTTCTCGTGGATTATTGGGCCCTTTTACTGAAGGGCTGTTGTTACCCATGCCAACAGCTGAAGTCCTGGGTGCAGAGAGCAGGGAACATGGATGGCAGGTTAACTGCCACCTTCTGTGCCCTTTCCCTCCCGTCTTTGTTCACCACAGTAGTTATTTTAAATCTGGCAGCATTTCCATCTGCTCAGGCTGGCATGGCTCTGCCAGCAGGCAAAGCTAACAGTGGGTGAGCTGGTGGGAACAGCCTGGCTTCATGGCCACACTACACAGTCACTGACAGCACAAATACAACCTGCTTGGACAGCATTTAGCAACTTGCTGGTCTAAAAACTCAGCAAATAATTGCTTGAGAACAGCATCTCCTTTAAGACAAAAGGGCAGCCTCTAGGGCAATTCCTTCAACTCTGCTTAGCTGTTTTCTTTGATGCTTTTCATACCCAATGATTATATTTTTTTTAAACTTTGCATTTTGGGATCCTCCCTTCTTATTTCCATACAGCTGAAATCAGCAACACTGATCATCTTTCACTCACATGGTGGATTTGTGTGAAAATCCCCATGTTTGCTCTTCACCCCCKGCACCAGTGCCTCCACTTTGGGAAAACTGGTACTGTGTGATTTARATAGCCAGTTGGCTCAAAGCAAAAATAAGTCAAGGCAGTGTGATTATACAGAAATCCTCATGGGATCCATCTGATCCACGCCTGGGAGCAAAAGGTTTGGAGAAACTGGGAGTGGCTCAGCTCTGATTCGACGGCAGAAAGATGAGGCTAAAACGCCTTGGCTGGTTTATCCCCAAAGAGCAATTCCAGCAGCTCTAGCTCCCTGAGGTCAGGGCACACCAGCAGGACGCAGATCTCAGCTTTAACTGCACTGTTAGGGTACTGCTGTGTTAGGCTGGGGAGAGGTCTCATTTTATAGACAGCCTAGGAAGCCTCTCTTTTTCCAAGGCTTCTAGAACAGGGCAGCCCAGTTTGAGGGGAAACTCAACTGAACCTGTGCCATGAACATGCAGAATCCTAGAGAAAAGAAGACTGGCTTTCTGCATGCAATAGAAATGACCTGTCCCAAGCCCCAGCAAAGCTAACCAGGGAATCAGTGCCCAAGGTTCAGCCCCAGGACTGTTCCCTTGCTCTGAAAGCAGGTGAGAAGCCACAAGTTGCAGTTCCCAGAAGACAGAGATACACAAAGTACAGAAAGAGGTGCCACAAAAGAAAGGGAGAGGAAAGATCTCCAGCCTCTACAAACCCTTTTCAATTCCAGCAGAACCAGATTTGCCTGTTTTAGCGGCAGAATAATCCTGAGAATTGCTCAGGGCTGTGCAGCAGGTGTTAGCTCCAGGGGCCCCACCACATCAAGCACTTCCTAGCCCCATACTGTGCAGGCAGGGCAGGGAACTCCATGAATCACTACTTACTGTTTTTTGTGTTTTCTTTCTTCCTTTCTCTTACTTTTGGGGCTTGAAGAACTAAATAAGAAATGGTTAATTAATTCGGAGATTTATATTCCRATAAAAAGCTGCACAATCACACGTCAATGTTACAGCTCGATTGCCCRAAAGCATGCAGTAAAAATGAAAGGGATTTGTGATTCTATCACTGCACAGGGGGTCTGAGTGCCTGCTGACAAATCTGCTCCATGGGCTTGGCCAAAAYCCACAAAAGGATCCATCAAATTAGTGACTTCGCCTTTTTTTTCGTAGAGAATAGGAGTACTTCTTGATATTGTGCACACATGTACTGGAATCGGGAGACTTTTTCCARTACGCACAGGGGGATCACTGACTCAGAATCCCCACACCTGACATAGAATGGGGGGAGCCAAGGGGATTTCACAAGGGAACACAGAAGAAGTGTCTTCTGCCCCCACTCAACCTTGAARAGACCATTAAACTCTCATTTCCAAGGGACCACCCACACCTGCTCAACTCTTACCTGTGCCTTCTCTTCTTTGATGACAACCTGCAAGACACAAATATGTACACTGAATGCAGGGTCYCACAAAATTGGACATTTGAATCCAAGACAATGTGTTTAGGCCCAGATTGAGCACTGAGAGGAGACCTCATGCACCGCCTGGGCAGAATGGCCTCAGCTCTCCTTCAGCCAGCTGGTGAGGGAGCAGCTGAGAAATGCTGGTGTGGCAGAAAGGACCAGCACACTCTACAAGTAATTGAGAATATGACCCTCAGGATAACAAGTCTTTAGAGAGACTAGATACATCCCCTATCTCTGGTGGGTCCTTTTTCTCTAATACTGCCTCCAGTTTTGCACTGCATGTAGAGGTGAGTCCGTTCCCTGGTTTTCTGTATGAAGGACTCAATAGCAGTTGAAGGAAAAATCYTCTCTGTGTAACTCCAGAGCAGCCAAACCAGCATCATGCCCCTGTCTTGCCTCCTGGAGCATCCCTGGGATCCCTCGTTGGGAAGAAAGTGTTTTAAAGAAGTTCCTATATCCTTGTCTCTCCTTCTCCCTYGCTCTTCTTCAGAGAATCAAACTCAACTTTTCACCCTGTTATCTACTTTTGGTAGCTTCTCTCTCTGGTTCAATATATTATAAATACATGAACCTTCTTAGGGAGATGGAATCCACTGTTCTCTTCAAATATTGGTTTAACAGCAGAGAGAAAACAGTGAAATATTTGCAATTTTAAAATTTAATCATGCTCTTTGAATTAAAAATGGACTTCAGAAGGGGAAGGTGGAAACATCTCTTTGTCCCCACACCCCAACAGCACGTATTTATCTGTTTGCACTGGGTGGATGTGGTTTGCACCCCATTTCATGCCCTCTTAGCCCAGAGGGACCCTGGCAATGCCTCCCCTTGAGCCTCACCCTTTCTGCCTGCCTGAGGCAGCAGAGCCTTCCACCCCTTCTCCAAACCCCCAACAGCCGCTGCCAGCATGGAATTACATTTTCAAGGGAAAAATACCTGTTTCTTTTTCGCTTCTTGGAGCTTTTCTTCTTCTTCTTCTTCACGGGCGAAGGGCTGTAGGAGGGAGACCTGAGGGGGCAGAGGGGCATTAGGGACCACAGGGCTGCTCACAGCCCTCAYGACCACCCCAAAACTCACCCCACCAGCAGTGGCTTCTCCAGGATGGAGAGGGGCTGGGGGCTCCTGGTGGGAGCAGGCTGAGCCCAGGAATGAGCCTGAACCCAGCTCTGCTGCCATGAGAGGAGGGTGAGAAGATGGCGGCGCCACCCTGGGCGACAGAACCCCCAGGCCCTCACACTCCATCTTACACAGACCGTTTTCCCTCACACCCATCGAGGGCTGCCATCCCCTCCTGCCCCACACACTGCCATGGCCACTCTGCCCTCCTTCACTGATCCTCTTCCCTCATGCTCAGCCAAGGGCTGGCCGACCTGCCTGTCTCCTCACAACCTTCATGCCATCATAGCTGCCTTCATCTCCTTCAGCAAACCTCTTCCCTCACATCAAGCTGTAGGCTGCTGTCCTCTCCTGCCCCACACAGAGCCATGGCCACCCTGACCTCCTTCATGACCCTCTTCCTCCACATGCAGTCAAAAGCTGCCCTACCTGTCCCCTCACAGCCCTCTTCCCTCACACCCAGCCGAGGGCTGCCCTTTCCATCCCCTCATGCCGCCATGGCTCCCTCATGACCCTCTTTCCCTCACACTCAGCCAAGAGCTGCCCTGTGCATCCTCACACGCCACCATAGCTTCCTCATGACCCTCTTCCCTCACACCCAGCTGAGGGATGCCCTGCCTGTCTCCTCACACTTCCATAGCTCCCTTATGTCCCTCTTCCCTCACATTCAGCCGAGGGTCACCCTATCCATCCCCTCACGCCGCCATGGCTCCCTCATGCCCTCTTCCCTCACACCCAGCCGAGGGCTGCCCATTCCATCCCCTCACGCCGCCATGGCTCCCTCACACTGCCATGGTTCCCTCACCTCCTTCGCTTCTTGCGGCCAGATTTCTTCTTCTTCTTCTTCCCCCGGACTGGCAGCGGCCGCTCCCCATCATACGAAAGGCTGAGGACAGGGGAAAAGACCCAATAGATATTAAAAATAATGAAAATAAACCCTGAATTGGCTCACAGGGGACTCTCTGCCATCCCCAACTCAGGGACATGGGGCAGAAGATCAATGTTCATGGTAGACCTGGGGTGTGGGTGATGCCTCATTACCCTCTAACAAATTATTTGGTCACAGTTTAAACGAACTGGCTAATAGAGACATAACAAGACAGCTACACCACAGCAATGCTGATTATTTAATACATGTTTGCTGAGGTTAACGACTCTGAAACAGATTTATAGGTTTTGTTGCTCTTTGTAAATATGCTTTAAATAATTAATTGGCATTTAATTTGCATACAGTAATTATTGCAAACAGATGCATCTACTATAATAAAGACTTGACATGTGTTAAGTAGCAATTGATTAGAAATATATATATATTTATYGAGACACTGTGGTAATTGAAGGAGATATGCATCTCTTATACAGTTGTTAAATCTTGAAAATAAACCCTCCTGCAAATTAATTTCTTTYTTAAACATATGATGCTGAATCGCATTATGTTTCAATGAAAAGCAAACACCGTGGTTAATTAATKCAGAGCACTGGGCTGAAAAAAATGACAGATACTCCGTGGCCACTCATTAACTAAAGCAAATGCTTGTAAAGGCAGAGGCAGCTGGTGGCAGCCCGGTGGCATCCCCAAATCAGCCCAAGGATTGCCAAACAGACCCCACAGATCTCTCAGAATCCCCAAATGGATCCAGGACCAAGGTTTGTGGGGGCACAACGAGCTCCCCAGGGCATGTGAAAAATCACTGAGGGTGCTGGGTTCGTGCCTGAGTTTCCCCACTTCTCACCCTGCCACTGGGAAGAGGCAGCAGAAGGAAATGGGTGGAAGCAGTCCCACGGTTGGAAAATGCCATGAGATCTTCGCTACAGAAACAGGCCAAAAATGGAGCAGTTTTCTGCAGCAAGAACAAACTTCATTGCTAATAAAAGTCCTAATGCAGAGCAAATTGGGGTGGGCACTCAGACTCTGCCGCCCCTCAACATTTGATCACCCAGGGCTTGAATTACCACTGAAATTACACTATCATAAAAACTCAATTGCTTAGTGCTTTTAATACACTTTGGGAAAAAAGAAAAAGCTCTGCAAAATGAAACTGCAAGCTGATGCTTCAGTTACGAGCTGTGAATAACGAGYGCTTCTGGTGCAGTAAATCCAGTGTGCAGCCACAGCATGACCCTGTGGAGCACCCACGTACTCCTCCTTTGTCTCCTTCTCCTCACAGGGATCTCAGGGATGAGCAGCAGTGCTGAGGATGGGGCTCAGAAGGTGTTCTACCTCAGTGCAGRCAGAAGTCATGCATTTCACAGGCCATGGTGTTGTCACTGAGCTCAAACACCTGCCCAGATACATCCCCAGGGACTGCCACAGCCAAGGGAGAGAGGGGAGGAACATCTGACCATGCAGCCATGGGCGGCTCCTGCAGAGCCCTTCTGCCTCTCCCCAGATAAAGTCTTTTGTCTTTGATGTGGCGGTTTTCTCCCATGTGCTGATCTGGCTTTAATTGTTCCTCCGCGATTATAATCAAAGTCTAATTAAAAATGTGCTTTAGATTATTGTTCCGGTTGGCCTGAAATCTCAAGATATGAAATGTGCTTTCTTGCTGTTTCTTYCCAGCATCTTTAACCAAACGGAGAGGCTTTAATCCCAGAGACAGTTGAGCAGGCAGGGCTCAGAGACCCCAGCTGCTTCATTTACAACGTTCCATTCATTTTCCCCTCTCAAGTGGTCAGGGACTAATGACAAGCTGATAACGAGACTTTGTCCTAATGAAGGCAATGCTGCTGGGCTGCTCTGGGCATGGGGAGAGGGGAATTGCTGAGGGCAATTCCCAGCAGACCTGCTAGTGCAGAGGAGTGCTGGCCGATCTTGGAAGACTCGGAAGGAGGCTGGAAGAGCAAGCCCTGGAGTAGAAATGAACTGCAGGTCTCTCCCGGCAAACATGCACAGGTATTTCATACAATCAYGTACATTTTCTGCACACACATGGAGTCATTTAAACTACCCCCAGCTCTCACAGACCCCAGAGGGACTGAGCAAAGAGCCAGACACACCTCCCCTGGCACCCCTGTGTTCCAGGGTGGTCCCGTTCGTGGCCCTGGCTCCTACCTGCGTGACCTGCGGTGGGCATGGTCTCGTCTCTCCCTCCCCTTCGCACAGCCATTGGTGGTGGRGCACTCCCTGACCACGCAGCTGCTCAGCTTCTCGGGACGTCTGTCCTCCGCAGGGCATGGCAGGCAGCTGAGCGTCCCACTGCTGGGGCAAGAGGAGAGAAAGAGCCATCAGGAGCTGTCCCTTCAGCTGGGGTCATTCCCCACACCCTGGCCAATCTGCTCCCCTTTTTGCAGGTTGGACCTGGGCTGCTGTGAAGGAGAGCTGCAGGCTGCTCTCAGTGCTCAGCCCTGCTGTGGGAAATGCTCCTATAAGGCTCTGAAATGCCCCATTTCCAAGCCAAGCTGCACTCCAGCCGTGGCATGCTGTGCTCATTGCTCAGGAAAAGATGTCAYGAGCATCACACAGCCAAAGAGCAGCTGGACAGCACAGGGCCAGATCCAATCCAATGGGAAGGGAAAACAGGAGCTAGTCAGGGCATCTCCTGCATTGTGAGGTTTAGATCACCAGCTCTGCAGAGGCAGCACAGATTTTGCACTCTGATAAAAAAAAAAATAAAACCTTTTGCATTTCAAATATCATTTTGCAAACTTGCTATTACTTTGATAACACCTTGCCACGCATCCTCATCCTTGACTGCAGGCAAACTTTTGGGAGCCACTCCTACAAATAAGGTGCTTGGGCTGGTGAGCACACCTTGTCCTGCTGAAAGCCTAACCTGGAGAGCCTGGGACAGCCCAGCAGAGCTAAGGGGAGCCCATTGGGCCTGGTCAGTGCCTGCAAAAGCCTTGAGAGCTGGCAAGGAGCAGAGCAAAGGCAGGGAAAGTCTGGAGTGAGTGGTTTCTAAGAAACGCTGGGGCTTGTGCAAGCTGAAATGGAGAAAATAAGACAAATGGAGAAGACAAACCCAAACAAGTCTGTGTGCAGACACTCAGGAGGAAAGTAAATAGCTTTCCAGGCCCTGCAGATGTTTATTTCAAAGAATGAAAAGATTAATGAAAAGCCATAAACCGTACCCGGCAGGGGTGATGAAAATGCTGTGGTTTGGTGTCACCCAGAGCATTATTCCAGTAGATGAAGCAAGCATGGGCATGTACAGGCCAGCCCAGCTGTGGGGAGATACCCTGGGTGGACTGGGCTCAGCTGGCACTGAAAGTGTCCCCATTTCTTCCTATTATCATTTTAAAGCTGACCCCAGGACTAGGCTTGGGTGCTACTTTAGGGTCAGCTCTGCAAAGTCCTGTGGCTGTGTATGCCAACATACCTGCCTCCCCTCCTTAGAAAACAACCCTGAAACCCCCAGGCCATRTGAATCCCACCAGAGCAGGGAGAGGCTGGGTTGTCCCCCTGCCAGCCCTGCAGCCACAGCTTTGGTTGCAGAGAACACCACAGTTGTCACATGTGGGCTGCAGGGATGGGAACAAGGAACCAGAGCCAGGTGTGTGCTGCACGTCGAGGGTTCAATGGGGGCAAGAGGGTGGTTGAAGAGCATGTGATGTTAGAAAAGCCCCAGTTACTTATGGCCAGAGTCTTGCATGCCACAGGGAAGGTTCTGCTGCCTGTCTCAAACATGAGCAGCACTTTTGGGGGTTGGAGTTGGCACAGAAGCACATGCAGAAGGGTCACCGATCTCTTTCCACCTGTATTTTGTCTCTCAACAAATTCCCACTTTCTCTAAGAGCTGACTCCACCTTGAATCCCATTTTGTAATGCCTGAATATTTAAAGATGTGCACAGCTAAATACAAGGGACAGGGRCCAATGTGAGGAAGCTGGCTGAAATATTTCTGGCCCAGAACATGCAGGAGGTGAATAGAGCCTCTTGCTTTAAAAGGTCTGTTTGTAAAAAATCCCCCCGTCGCTTCCCAAGATCTCCATTATTTTTACCCATCCAGGAAGCTACATGGTTAATCGCTTTCTGTGTGCCAGTTAATTGGCTTGTGGCCTTTCCCAAACCCCTTTTAAGAACAACCTTCTGAGGCTCAATCATTAGGATCCATTAAAAACGTCCCCAAATTAATGACCTGTGCAAAGCCTGAGCTGGACGCACTCCAGCAGCAGAGGCAGGAGGATTCCTCCTCAGGCTGGAACACTGCTGCCAGGACCTGGGCACGGCAGGCGACATCMTTGTCACCCAGCCTCTGCTCCCACTAATGGGATTTCCAGGTCCTGGGGTTAAAACATATTGGCCTTGAGGCAATCAAGGACTCCTGTCCTGCAACATGCCAGGAAGCATTTCTTCTGGGCTTGGAAGTAATTATTGATGGAAATAATTATTCTCCAATTCCATCAAAGGCTGGCTTSCATTCAACCAAATGTTCTCCTCTGATGGATGCTGAGAGTCACTAACACTCTAAACTGGCTGGTAATCCCCTGGCGTGGAGCTCCATAGACATTGATTGAATATATATATAAAAATGTTTTCTTATTGTCTTTCGTGTCTCTCATGACTGATATAAAAGTGATGCAGTTTGGTGTGAATGATCGCTGTGGCCTCAAAGGAGGGATTATCACACCTTCCCTGCTGCTTGTGCCTGCAGCAGGAAAGCAAAAGTCTCTGTGGGTGTTTTTGCTGGAGCTGGCCCAGGGAGAGCAGCAAGGATGCTCAGCAGGATGCTGCTGGAAGCACGGGACTCACTCAGCCCAGGGSATGTGCCAGAGGAGGCAGGAAGAAGAGGAGGCAGGAAGGATGCCCTGCGGGGGAGCACTGGAATGAGGACCACAGCCTCTCTTCCCAGGGAACTGATTGCATGTTTRTCCGTAAGAATGCGCTCCTGGCCGCAAGCAGTTGGACAGAGACAAGGCAGCTGACCACCCATCCCACCTGCCCTGCAAGTTTCTCCATTTCCACTTGGCAATTTGATCACTTGCACTCCTATTTCCTTTTCCTCTCTTTCTCCCATGCAGAAATCCCGCCTGTCCTTCACCTGTCCAGAAGCAGCCCCGTTGTTACTGATGGGATCCACAATAAGATACCTGTGGGCTGCCTGCCACCAGCTCAGTGCAGAACATGCCCCGTGCAATGTCCCACCACGGCTGGCTCAGTCTGTCCCTTCCTGTCCCAGCAGTCTCTGCTCCAGGGGCGGGGTTTGGCCTCATGGCATTTTGTGCCCCCCAGTTCACTGTGGACACCAGTTAAACACTGCCTTTCCTGCCCACAGATGGMTCCTGGCACTGTCCACAGAGGATAGGACAAAGGCACAAGGCACTTACTGCCTCAGGGAGCAGAGCTGCCTCCCAAGCCATGCCCATCTCTCCATCCTGGGCTGCCATGCTCCATGCCATGGCCAAGCACCATCTCATCAGGCCATGAAATGTGGCACTTGGTGACGCACGCTGCTGCGGGAGCTGAGCCCAGTGACACCCGTCCCCCCCGGGCCTGCAGTGACAGCAGTCAGTGTGGGTTTGGTGTGCACTTGACATTCCCTGTGCTCTGCCATCCCGGGGCTGCGGGGCCGGGCACTGCCCTCCCCTGCCCACAGGCTCCTGTGTCCCAGCCCAGCTGCCCCGGCCCYGCAGCAGTCTCCTGCCACAAAGCTTTCATCAATCAGCCTTTTCCCTGCAGTAACTCATCTCAAGTGGAGACAAAAACAGGRAAATTGTCTTCCTAGTGACCTTTCAGCTGCCGGACCCTGGCAGCAGACCATCTCCCCATGCAGCTTCATCGTCCCTAAACTCTGCAGGCTGGGCTCCAGCCATTCCAGCCCTTGGTGGCTTTGTGCAGCCCCTGTGCCCTTCCCTTGCCCTGCAAGCAGCAGTGTAAGCAAACTGGGRCTGGATCATGCTAACCAAGCCTTTTTTTTTCTTAATATCCTTTATTTCCCTTTGCACACGCAGCTGGGTTGGGTGCTGGATGTACAAGCACTTCAGAGGCCCTGGGCACTGAGTGCACTTGGCAGACCTGCACTGGCAGCACTTCCAAGGTCAGGACAGAGGATTTGGGACAGCCAATACAGAAACTTTATTACATTCCTCACTTCAACCCTGGCTGGCTTCACATTCCTATCATCTCTACAGCCCGCGGTGAAAAGACAGGAGCAGCTTCAGCTGACCAAAGCCTCCAAACAAAAAAGGTTAAATGAGCGTAAAAGTTATGAATGTTTCACTGGAATTAAACGATGAAGGATGGATACCTTTCCTGGAACTGGAAACAGAGGCATCCTGAGGGAGGCTAGAGAAACTCCTGTGCCTGCAGCCACTTGCACCAGGGATTTTCTCACCACTTCTCCTGAGTAACATGCAAAAAGTGCATAGACAGGTGATGGAATACCTCATCTTTCCTCTCCTTTCCTCACCTGGAGGTTTTGKTTTTGCAGGAGATGGCAGTGGTGGGTCAGGATCCCTGCTTTCCCACATCCCTGTGGCTCTCTGCCACAGCCACATCCCCTGTGCTTCTGCCCTGGGCCCTGGCCAGGGTGATCTGAGCTGCTCAAAGTGTTTCTGAAATCCACCTTTTGGCCTGAGAAGCCTTTTAGCACCGGTAAAATGAACCTTTGATTTTCTCTCTTGCTCTCTGGCTTTGCTCATCTGATTGAAAAAGGAAGTGATCAGGCCATTCCCTTGTCCCAGGAGAAGGARGGGACAGAAAAGAGTGTTGTAAAGACATTTCCCACTAAAACTCCAGCAGATGTGTTTATGTAGAGCTCTTTGAAATATGCACTAAAAATACCTCTTCAAAATTAGGAGATRGGGAACATTGTAAGTGCTTCCCACAAGCACACACACACACACACACAAACACCCCATGGCAGGTTCTTTCTCCACCTCATTCAACCCATTTTTATTAGTGCAGCAGGAGCCCTGCAGTTTGTTATTGAAAATTATAATAGCAAATCACCGAGATATTTTCCTTGATTACACAGACTCCAAGCCAGTTCAATTTTAATCTTCTCCCTGCTATTTTTTTTCTGTGCATCAGCAGAGGCACCAGCTGCAGAGAGGCACGTGGCTTTCTTGAGGCAGTTTAAACACAGAAGAGAAATACAATTCTGTACTATACATTTTTCATCAAATTTCTGCCAGTCGTGACTCTCCTCCCCCTCCTGCTCCCGGGAACCCTGAGTCCTGCCACAAGCCTGGATGCTGCTCCTTTTCCTTCTGGGACTCCAGAAAGGTTTAACGACCGCTCTCAGCACATCCCGG